CCACCTTACCTCTCTCTCTTTTTTTTTTTTGTTTTTTTTGTAAATGTTTTTTTTTCTTCATGCATTTTATAGCCTTTGAGAATAAATAAGCTCCGTTTTGCTTCCACATCTCTAAAAACTGCAGCATTTTTAACTATTGTCATTTCAACCGTGCAATTATTTTTTTGTGTGTGTTTTTTCTTTTTTTTTTTTTTGCAACACCCCTTTTAAAAAAAAAAATGGGAAAATACATATATATATATTCAAACTAAACCCTATACAACGTCAAAAAAAAAAAAATCCAAATTTAAAAAAAAAAAAATTATACACAATTTGTAACTGTCAACAGTACAGATGAGCACGAGAAATAAAAACCGCAAAGATCCGAACAGATTCATAGAAGCACAAAGGAGGGTGTTGGTTTCTTAAGATTGTCGTTTCTCGTTGTCTTTTGAAAATTAGGAGGAGTTTCCTGGACTCTTATGGGGAAGTAATGATGACGACCCCGAGCTCATGATGGGATGGGAGAGAAATCCCAATGCGCCGAGCCAAGGCGTCAGTGCTGAGCTGTGGCGTCGTGGCGCTGCGCTGCTCCGGTTTGGCACGTCTTGGCACACACCAAGCAGCCCAACTCCACGTGGCTGAAAGCAGTGATGCTTTACGGTCTGTTGGGTTTGTTTGGGTTGGTTTTTTTTGTATTTTTTTTTTTCCTTTTTTTTTTTTTCTGGCTCTCTGAGATGTGAAGTCAGGGCGTGAAGTCAATGAGCAGAAATGTTCCGTCGCCCTCCAAGCGCCGCGCTGCTGCCTTCCCGCTCCTTTGCGGGGCCGGAAATACGTTTGGTTGCGGCGTTATTTTTTCTTGCAGGACGGTCAGGAAAAAGAAAAGAAAATGAGAGCGACGAGACGTCGTCAATCCCACCTAATTTCCAAAGCGAGGCCGTGCAAAGAGCTGCCGTGTGGGTCCGATGCACGCAGGGTGCTGGCGGTGTGGCTGCTTCCTGGATGGACGCGGGGACAGAGCTGGGACAGAGGGATGGAGCTGGGACGTGGGGACAGATCCACGTCACCTCGGTGTGGACAAGAAGCCCGGCGCACACCGTGCAGGGTTTGAGGAGGAGGGAGAAGGATTGGGGGGCACAGAATCTGCCCACGTGGGTGTCCCGTCCCTCCCCCCCCCCCTCCCCCGCCCTCCCCGGTGTGCCGCAATAGGAATGGAACACCAAAACATTTTGCATTCGGAACCAGATCAGCCTTTGGGGAAGTGGTGGCAAACGGGACTTTTCAAAGGGTTTCAGCAGGAGGTCGCTGCCAGCACACCTCTTTCAGCTCCGTGCAGGGATTGTGGGGCTGCATTGGCTCCGTGCTGCCTCTCCACAGCCATCACCGTTCACTCCCATCTGAATTTTCGGAGGCCTTCCTCTGACTGCTCGCCTTAAGTTGCCCACATTCATTTTCATCACAATCCGCCCCAGTGCAACAGGTTGGGCTGGAACCTAACTCTGCTGGGATCTCTGGGAGGAGGCAGACGCACAGCCCTCATCCCCTGGGGAACTCCCTGTGCAGGATGAGGTTAGGTGCTGGGGCAGGTTCTGTGTCATTCTGCAACCACAAGCTTCAGTGGAGAGGAACTGTGCGGCCAGAGGACCGTCCTCACAGTCCTGAGCAGGGACAGGGGCAGAGATGGCACCACAAAGCAGCTCCAGAACTTCCCCTGCTTCCCTCGTGCCCTTTTTCCTTCCACTGAACCAGGTGGCTGAGGCTGCTGCAGAGATCCTGCGCAGCTCAGTTCACTCCTCCAGAGGCCTTCAGGCAAAATCCCTAAGGACGTTATTTCAGTGGCAATCGTTAAATAGCAACGATTTACTCCTAGCTTCTAACTTAAAGCTTCGACCCATACAGAACAGGGAATGCATTTTAGACACACTTGCAGCATTTTTTTTTTTGGTAAAACGACTGTTACTCCCAAACCAGCCCTGCCTCAGCCAAGCACCCTGCGGGGCTCAGTGGGACCTCAGCAGAGGTGGCTGAAGGGTTTGGATGATTGTGGCCAGAAGCAGCGGTGCCCCCTTCTCTGCAGGGAAAGATGATGATGTCCACAACCACCTCTCACCCAAACAGCAAAGATCAAGCCTTAAACCTGTCTCGTGTTCCCCCTACACCTCCAAGCAATGCTGCAGCACACAGCCTTGTCCCATGGGACTGAACCATCCCCTCCTGCCCAGGCTGTGGGGCAGCCCTCAGGGATGCTCAGCGCCCGCATCGCTGCACCAGCGCAGCCCCACAGCCCCCAGCTCCAATCCCTCTCCCTTTGATTTCCTTGCCACCCAACCTGGAACTCACAGCTCCCAGCTGTACGAACTGCGTGCGTCGCCCATTGTGCTAGAATGAATGCCTACAAAATCCTAAAGCTATTTCTCAGGCAGTTTATGATTATCTCCCCACCCCAACCCCTAAAACCCGTTTTTGTCCCCAGAATCCTCCCCTTTCCCCCCCTGCCCTCCCCGCTGCGAGCCAGCGGCGCTCCTGGGGATGACGGGGACCCGTTATGTGACCCAGGTATCCAACCGCATGCGTTTCACTGAAGGACTCTCCCCCTCGGCCTCACCGCCAGGGCGCAGCAGCCCCAGGGAGGAGCTGAAGTCGGTGCGAGTGGGATCATCTCGCTCACTGCCCTCGTAGGAGCTGGTGTTGCTGCTGAGGCTGTCGACAGGCGAGCGGCCGGTGGGCTCGTGGCGGGGCTGGTGGGGGAAGGTGCTGAGTGGGGTGGCAGTGTTTCGTTCCCGGTTGGGTGAAACGGGCTCCGACTTGATGCTGATGTTGGGGTTGGTGTTGACAGTCAAAGTGGTGGTGTGGGACAAGTGGCTTCCTTGTCTGAGCATCCACGGGAGCAGGGGAGGGAGGGGAGGAAGGGGAGGAGGAGACAATGGGAAGCCTCTCGTTACTCATCGTTCCAGCAGCCCTCTGCCCATCCGCAGAATTCACCACCCACCCTTCACTGCGAAAACGACATCCCTGCCAGGCCAGGACCTGATCCTGCCAACCTCATCCCCACCGGGCTGGAGCCCAGAGCAGCTCCCCAGCACAGCACCCCAAAGGCAGAGAGCATTCAGCAGTGCTCAGCCTCACCAACGGTTGTGCAAAACCATCAGAGCGTGGGGTTGTCTGGGCACTGCAGAGCTCTTGAGCTCCTGACCAAAGGATGGAGCACGCCCTGGAGCCCCTGCTGGGCAATGCACAACCTGCTCTGAGCAACTCGTGCTAGAGGCAGGTGCAAGCAGCTTTCCCCTGCGGAGGCTTTAGGGCTCCCACTGAACTCCTCCGTTTCTTCAGTCCCTGCTTCTTTCTGTTCTGCAGTCTCTGCGCAACCAAGAGCGAGTTGCTTCAATCTTTATTTCGACTGCAGTACTGTGAGAAAGCTCTGTGAGTGGGGATGCTTTATTTCCAGCTCCATTTCAGAGCACCTGTTCCAGCAGGAGTCTGCATGGATGGTTTTTTTGTTTTTTTTTTGGAGTAAAGCAATTCATTTTCCATGTTACAAATAGCCTTCCCTACGCTGCCAGGACCACTATTAGTAGCTCCCTTATCTGTCATGCCTACTCTATGCCCTCTTCCTCTCCTGTGTCAGAAGGGAGCAATGCTCCTGCTGCACGTGGGCAGCCAGCTCCAAGCCATGGCTCTCAGAAAGCAGCACCCAGCCCTGACCTTGCCTGGGGACTCCCAGTCACCTCTGGGACAGTGGTGCCCAATTCCCTCCGCATCATTTTATTACCATTTGTACCATCAGCTGAGTGGCCCTGGGGCTCATTTCACTTACATTAAATTTCCTAGTGATACAGGAACCAGGTGCTGCTGCTGCTGTTGTTGTTGCTGCTGCTGTTGCTGCTGCTGCTGTTGCTGTTGTTGCTGCTGCTGCTGTTGCTGCTGCTGCTGCTGCTGCTGCTGCTGCTGTTGCTGTTGCTGTTGTTGCTGCTGCCAGGCAGAGATGTTGCCAAGGGACAACCCACCAGGTGAGCTGAATGCTGGCAGTGAAGATAACTCAGCACTTGTCAGCTGATAATCTGGAATGAAAGGAGCTCTTCAGTCATTTCAATGTCAGGGCTTCTCTGACCCAGCACTGAGCACTGCAGGAAGATAGAGACCCACTCAAGAGGTACAACAGAGCCGTGCCTTTCTGGGGAATAGCTCAGGGACTCAGCAGTTTCATATTGTTGCTGGGCATGGGAGGTGACTCTTCCACCTTCGAGGCTTTTACTGTCCAAAACATAAAGCACTGCAGTGCCCTTGGTTCTCTCCAGTACCACACAACCACGGACATCCACGTGCAAATGCACGCACGGAGGCAAAGGGGACAGATTCAGTGCCTTACAATCTGCACATCCACCCTACAGCCAGTCTGAGCAGCTGGCAGAGAGGGAGCGGTGCCAAACCCCCGTGTGCCTCCCCACCTGCCCGCAGGACCATAAGGAGCAGGGGGGCAGGAGGGCCACTCACTCTGCGCATCCCAGACCCACTTCTGCACAACCACAACCGGCTTCTGAGCATCAGCAGATGGCGCTCCCTCCCCACAGGAGGAGGCCAAGCTGCAAGGAGCCTGCCTCGAAGCAGGACCCGCTGCAAGGAGCTGCACAGCCCAGCAGGAGGACCCAGCCCAACACTCTGCAAGTTGCCAAGGTGGCAACTCCTCAGCTACGCAGCACGGGGAAGGAAGCTGCTCTTCCAAGAGATGGCCAAAGCTTTGATCAGCCCTTTCCTCAGAGCCACGTCTGCATCTGATAGGGATGCAGATGCTCGATGCTGATCTGCCCTCACCCCACTCCTCCCCACTGCCTCTGTCATTTTGGGCGCCTGTGGTTTCAGCTTCCCCACCCCTGCAGCAGCAGCAGCAGCACACAAAGGAGGCTGCCAGGCAGCAAGCAATGCTGGCAGGCTGATGGCAGGCACTCCCTGCACAGCAGCAGCCCCATTCTCACCCCATGAGAATTCCCACTAGCGCTGGTCCTTCCACTTCTGCAAACACCCCCAGGTCTGATGACCCCAAGCAGCGCAAGGAAGGGCACACACTCCTGTAACCTCAGCAGCCCCACGGGGAGGATATCCCTAGGTTAGAAGTGGGAGGAACAAGGAGTAGCACCCAGGGCTTGGGTTTGGTGCAGACATCTGCACCCTGTAGCGATGTGAGCCCTGCCAGCCCTGTGGCATTCAGACATCCCAGCCACAGGCGCCCGGGTGGGAATGGTTTCTCTGCCTGCGGCTAAGCTGCAGGAGGAAAATAAATACCAAAAGATAACAACCAGCTCTACCCCCCCCCACAACCCCCCACCAAGACTTGTAGCAGTGCAAGGCCCAATTAAAACCTATTTCGGGGACTTTAGCAACACCCAGACTCGTTGGTGGCCCGCACCGACTTCCACACAGGGAGAGAAGTCAAACAGGCATCTCCTGGGCTACACCTACTAATTATGTGAGGGAGTTCCCAGCACGCCTATCCTGGGTTCTTCCAGACGAGCAGCTTTCTGCATTTCTTCCAATTTTTTCTCTGAGCAAACACCAAAGTGAGTGATGAGGGAAAACATCCCTGCATCACTCCCCGGTGCCCCCGGGGTTTGGGCAGGCTGCAGGTGAGCAGAACCCTTTGCTGGAGTTGCCTTGGGCTAGCACACACCTCACCAGCCCTACAAGCAGGACGGTCTGCATTCTTTCCAAACTTTTGGGTCCCTGACGCTCATTTTCATTAAGCCCCTATTACAACATCACTTGCAGCTTTCGAGAGAGCCCTGAGATGGGCGTAGCTGCAATTAACATCCACTTAAAAGCATCTTCACGCTGCCAACACCACGTAATGGGCTACAGCATGAGAACCGTGCCCTCACAGCCTTCCTGGATACAACAGCGAGTTCCCATTCTTAATATAATGAGTTTCCCCTTTGTTTTCATCTTGTGAAACTCTTGGCCTCCGACGGCATCTGGCAGCGGTGAGCTGCACCAGATGCTCTCTGCAGCCATTCAGGGAGATGTGCAGGAGGTGGCAGCGCCCTCACCTGTGTTGTACGCAGTCGGCATGGCAGAGAACGGCAGCCCCTGTGTCAGCAGGCTCGGGGTGGCCACAGAAACAACCGGCGTGGTTAGAGAGTGAGTCGCCTGGGAGACACCTAACCGCTGTGTGTTCTGCTGGGGAAGCAAATGGAGGCTGTTACAAGGCGGCCCGCTGCACCCCAAGCCCCAAACCCCAGCAGGTTACAGACACCCACGACCTCTGTGAAGCTCACGGGCAGCTCAGGGAGCCCTTGGATCACTTTTCTGCTCAGGACTGGGGGTTTTCTGCACGGAGGGCATCTCTGTGCTGCAGCAGCGAGGTGCCTGTTTGTAAGGCACAAATCCTTACAGCCTCCCTGCCCATGCTGAAACAAAACCAGATACTATTTCCCAGAGGATGCGTGCGATTGCCTTCGCTGCACTGGGAGAAGATCATGGTACGAAATCAGTGCCTGGTGCTGCACAGGGCTGCTCCTCCTGCAGCAGGGGCGAGCCCCTGGCCTCCAACACAAGATGCAGACGTGAGGCACAACTGAGAGGATTGTAAGGGTGCTGTGGCATCCTAGAAACCAGCTCTCAGCAGCCCCTGGGCTTGATGACCTCACGAGGTTGGGGTGACTCAGGCATTAGCAGGGTCCCTGGTGGAAAAATCCTGCGCTCATCTGGGTGCAAGCCAGCCTCTCCCCACGGCTCTTCAGGCGGTTACGTGGGCAGATCTACGGGTCAGCTTCAGCCCTGTTTACAAGGCAGATAATCTGGGCTGCCTCTGCTGATCTGATTTAAATCAGACTCAAGAGGCTTGCCTCTAATCTGCAGCACCCCCGGCACACGTCATCCCGTGAAGCCTGGGGCACTGCCCAGCTCCCAGCACGCCTGGCACGAGGCTGCTGCATCCCCTGGGGCACAGCCTGCACCAGCACAGCAGCACCCAGGGCTGCCATGGAGTTTTAGGGCCAGGCATGGGTGTCTGCACCAACACAGGATCTCCTGGGGTGCACTCAGCACCTCAACCCTGCCCTAGAAGGGTATGCAGCACCCACACGCTGCCGAGGAAGGCGATGCTAATTGCCGAGGATGGGTGCTAATTGATGAAGAGCTGAGGCTGTCAGAGGTTTTCCTGGCTTGCACCCTGCTGGCAGTCACCCTAGGGGGTGCCCACTGCCCCATAGGGCAGGGATGCTGAAGGGAAATGCCATCACCAGGAGCTCATCCTCTGCAGTCTCAGGTGTGTGGCCTCGCCATGCCGCAAGGCAGCACCTAGTTTTAATCCCAAACCATGCAGGCAAAAGGTGCTGACATGTGCAAGATGCCACACATAGGTTGCAAAATACCCTGAGTGGCAAGCTGTCACTCGGGCTTGTTACAAAACCATGCAGTCATGCTCCCAGGTGACATGGTGGTGCACTGATGGAACAGATTCTGCCCTATGCTTCCAATGGGAAACAGCCCATGGCATGCAGAAACATGGAGGGGTTTCACCTTCCTGACCCCACTAAAAGCAGCTCCACGGCTTACATTGGGGTGGCTGGGAGCATCCTGGGGAGAGCAGGCGGGTGACATCCCAGGGAAAGGAGAGCTAGGATGAGGGCAACATGCAGGGAGGGGATGCAGGGAGGTGGGTGACTGCAGCACTGAGCCTGCAGAGCAGCTGTGGGCAGATGGCCCCCACCTGCAGAGCTGTGCCAAGCTCCCTGTCCCCCTCCTGGACTCTGTCACCTCGCTGCCAGCTGGGGTTGGACAAAGACCACATTTTGCTACAGGCAGAGGCAGCCTGGCAGCTCCAATTAAAGCTATTCATGCTAACCTGGCTGATTTTTGCCTAAAGCCAGCTGCTCCTTCAGGCAATGCCCTGCGGCAGAGGGAAGGGTGAAGTGGAGGTGCTGGCTGTTTGGAGGCTGCAGGTGGGGAAACTGAGGCACAACGTTGCCAGGGATTCAGGTAGGGAAGGGAGGTTTGTAGGGCACGGAGTGGAGCAGAATTCAAGTCTGCAAAAGCCTCAGCCAGCCCTGGCCCTGGCCAAGTATCTCCTCGCAGGCTGTGAGAGGTCCTGCCTCACTCCTGTGCTTTTGGAAAGCTTTTCCCTGGCTGTGTTTGCTGCATCCTACAGTGGCTCTCGTCCTTTCCTCACTGCGCTGACCTGTCGCCCATCTGCCCTGAACCAGAATAGCAACAGAAAAGGGTGAATCATTGCCACAAACAAGGTGGTGTTCACTTTGCTGGCAGAAAGGAAAAAAAAAAAAAAAAAAAAAAAAAAAGCCATAAAAATAACACAGAAAATTGCCCCTGTGCACAAACAAGGGCTGGTGCACGGGTGAGCCAGGCAGTGGATTCACACAGGCTGCAAATAATAACTTCATAGGAAAATAGGAGAGAGCCTATGCTTCCCCCCCCCCCCCCGCTGCAGGCCAGGTTTCCCCATGCCCCCCCATGGGCACAGCAGTGCCCAGGTTGGCTGTGTGGCACACAGGCACACAGGGTGAGTCCCTAAGGAGGATGAACCACCTGACAGCTCGCGTGACAGCCTGCAGCTCAGCCCTTCCTTCCGATTTGTCTACAAACAAGGGGGTTTTTGTAGCTCCTTTAAGGAAGGGGGCAGCGACATCGATGCTGCACTCCCAGCAGAGGGGCCGGCAGGGATGCGGGGACAAACAGGAGAAGCGGCCCAGGTCACAACGCCCACCGCAACGCACTCTCAGTGTCACTCACCAGAGCCAGGTGATCCTCCGTCTGCCCGCACAGGAACGGGGAGAAAACCAAGAGGCACCATTAACCCGCTGCCCTCACCCACCGCCGCCGCACCCCGCGCTTGCCGGCTGCTCGCAGGGACGGGGCGCGCGTCGCACGCCAGGTGACATTCGTGTGCACCATTAGGGACACGCAGCGGGTTCGGTGCAAAGGGAAACGCGAAGGGAAATCCTCCCAGCTCCCACCGGCACAGCGGGGAAGAGGTGCCTGTACCGAACCCACGCTGGTGCCAAGCTCCCTGGCAGTGCCACGCGGCGCTGCTCACCAGGTGGTGCATCAGCCCTTTGCCGCTCTGCGAGGTGATGACGCGCAGGTCCGGCTTGCGGCTGTTGGTGGCGAGCTGCGTGCTGTGGGGTGGCGGTGGAGGGGACTTGGCTGGGATGATCTTGCCCAAAGTGCTGCCGTTGGAGACGGGAAGGAGACCAGGGGAGGCACGAGCACTCACGTAGCCATTGCCTGCGGGAGAACGGCCACAAGGTGAAACGCGTGGCGATGGCGAGACCTGCGAAGCTGTCCTGGGTGTGCAGAGCAGGGATGCAGACCCTCATGCACTGAGCAGCTCCTCGCCTGCAGGAGCCCACGGGCATCACCGCAACGCTGCAGTGCTGCTTTCAGCACGACCCCTGCACGCTGCTGGTAGCAGGGCAGCAGGGCCCTGTTGAGGCGGATAATTGCTCTCACGTTCACTTTTGAAGCTGCTTTTTGGCAGCAAAAAGGGCTGTGGGCAGAGCGGAAGACCTGGCGCACTGATCCCACTGCCCCTTTGAAGATCTGAGAGTCCCTCCTCCTCCTCCTCCCGCTGCCCCACTTAAGGATTTTATGTGCAAAGACGAGAAGGCAAAAAAAAAAAAAAAGAAGAAAGGGAAGGAAAAAAAAAAAATTTAAAAAGGAAAAGATTTGATGAACATCAGGAAGGGAATAAATTGGATCAGATTACTGTTCTGATGAGGGCTTTTTTTTTTTTTTTTTTTTTTATTTTTATGAATAGGCCCCAAAGATAGAAAGGCGTTTAGCAATCACCAGGATTCAGCCCTCGTATTCACTGCACGTTAGACCAGGAAAAATAGGTCGCTGATTGCATTATTAATCACATCTACCACTACTCTACATCTGCATTTCAGCTGGCAGTGGCAATGCTGCAGCCATGGCAGGTGCCCACTGCCGCCCCAGGCCAGGCAGACTGGGGATGGGATGAAACTGGCGAGAACACAGCCTTGCCCCCCAACCCTGAGATGGGAACAGAACCTAAAGGAAAGTTAAAACTTGATGCTTTTGTTGCTGAGATGGCATCAACATCAATGCGCACGCGTGCAGCTCCAACGGCAACCACAAATTCGAGGTATGCTGCCTCACGACGGTGGGCAGCTGTTGGGGTGGGTGGGCAGGACACCGGTGCTGTGGGGTTGGGGTGGACGTGTCTACCAAACGCCTGCCATGCTGTGCCTGGACAGAACAACTACATGCTGCTCTGCACAGGGGAAAAATGCACGAATGCAGCATCTTCAAAAGCGTAAAGATGCCCAAACGCAGGGAGGCTGATGGAGGCAGTGAGCACAGGGTGTTTCCCTCCAGATGCAAGGTGGCACAGCAGAAATCTGCATGGCTGCAGAATCCAGGCCGCGGCCACCCGCGGCTGATGACTCAGAAGCTGCAGGTAACCTCAATCCCGCAGATAGAGCGAGGAAGAGGAGGAGGACAGGAGGACGAGATGCCCCAGGGACACAGAAGCCCCCCGTGGACGGAGGGCAGGCAGGGCTGGCCGTGCCCCGCTCCTCACGCCCGTTTCCTGGAGCGGCAGCAGGAACGCGGGGAATGCTGCGGTGCTGCGGTGACGTCAATGCTGACATTCAGCAGCTCTGCCAAGCTCCTCGCTGCCACGGCTGCTCACAACAGCTGACGTGGGGGCGGCGGGTGGCTTTGGGGGGCAGCAAGGCGGGGAGGTGCAGCCCCACAGCCCCCCCTCTCCCTTCTAGCAGAAGCCACCCCATCCCCACGCGGGTTGGCGGTGCTGCAGAACCGCTTCCGAACCAGTTTGGGTTTCGCTGGGGCTAATGCCAATTGCCAGGCTTCTCCAGAGTGAGCCTCTGGCAAAACTAGCATCAAAAGGGACAATCAGGGGGCAGGGCTCTGCTCGCCTGGGACAGCAGGTGCCAGAGGCTGCGTGTTGGCTGACCCGAGCCGCGGGCAGGAGGCATTATTAGCTCATTTTATAGCCGGGGAGTTAAGCCACACGGTCTGAGTTGAGTTAGTGCTGGGGCTCTCGCAGTGGAAAGGGGCCCTAATGAGCTTTTTTCCTCGCTGTAAAGTTCCTTTACAGGGCCCAAGTGCATGGAGGAATCAGGTGTTAAGTAACTCAGCTGAGGTCAGCGGAGGAGCGGGTTTCAGTTCGGGGTGCTAAAGCTCAAATCAGGTCTTCTTTTGTCTGCCAAAAGCCAAAGCTCTTTGGTTTGTAGCTCTTCCAAAGAGCAAGGACCTCAGCTCCACGAAGCACATCACTTCCCTGTATCTCTGATGGAACATTGCAGAGAGGCTGGCCTGGAGCATCTCCGGCAAAGCCTCTCGCTGCCAAACCCTCCTTAGCACTTCTCCATTCCCCAAATGTGCTGGGTTGAAAGGAAAACACACATTCCTGTGCTATTGATGGGAAATGGAGGCACAGAAGAGAGAAAAGAGCCCAGCTTGCTAGTGCCAGCCCCACACCGCTCCTCACTTACCCACAGGACTCGGGCAAGCTCCGTTGGTGTTGTTCAGGTCACCCCCAAGCATCGCCCCTACGAAACAACCAGAAACATGGGGTCAGGGCCATGCTGAACATCGCTCCTGGGGGAGGGAGGAAGGCAAAGGAAAATCAGCAGTGCTGCATTCCCGGCGAGAAAGTCCTGGGCAAAATGAGCAGCATTCCTGGTGATCAGGTTTGGAAACAATATCCAGGCAGATCCGTTTCCTTTGGGCAGCAGCCAGGCGGCACAAGGGCCTGGTCCAAAGCACACGGCTTGGAAAACACTGTGGCTATTTTGTTCCAAGCCTTCTGGAGGTACACAGGGGCTGTGCTGCAGGGAAATGAGCCCCAACAGCACAGTGTGAAACACTATCTGCCCTGTAACTTTTGCACCGAATGGAAACCACCCCTAACACTGCCAGCGCTGCTGCAACGCTGCCTTCCGTGGCTCTGCTGCACGAAGGTGAATGCTTGGACAGCACTGGGAAAAGCAAAGCAGGGGCCTCAGGCTGCCCAATAACAGATCCAGCTCCATCACCCCGAGACAGGAAACTGCCTCCAGCCACTGCTGTCAAAGCAGGGCTCAGGGTGGCAGCAGGCCCTTGAAAGCACAAATGCTGCTGCGCAAGAAAGGCATTTTGTTCCCCATGTGAAAGCGTGATCGTGGGTGTCGTGGTCCCAAAAATACTTTACTTGGCAAAAGGGTACAGAGTTCCCTAGAGCACAGCAGGCACCATGCTCCCTGCAGGGGATGGGGATGCAAAGCAGGGTCTTGGTTGCATTGAAGTCCTTGAGCAGACGGCAGCAGTGAGCACTGAGCAAGCTCCACGCCAGCACTGCCTTTGCTTTGGAAACAATAACGCAGCTCGCTGCATTCCTCTTGACTGCATTGTTAAAAAAAAATAATATATATATATATATATAAAAGAAATAGCTTGTCTCACATGCAAGGCTCTGGCTCCTATAAACAGGATTTCTTCCGTGTCCCAGGCAGTGAGTGAATGAAATGCAGATGGTTGGACTTGGAACACCTCAGTGCTCGCAACCACAAAATTATTCCCCCTTGAAACAAATGTTTCGTGAGCTGGATGGAAACGGCAAGCGCCGAGCAGGCTCTGCTTGACAGCAAAGCCTCTTTTTTTCTGCAGAGGCCAGCAAGAGGGCAGGGGTGATGCCTACAGACAGAGCCACAGCGCAGGAGGGAGATGCTGCTCTTTGGAACCAGCAAAAAGATCCCTTTTCCTCTGAAATCTGGGGCCCTGCTCCTCAGGCCCAGCTCCTTCAGTCTTTCAGAGAGCCTGGGCAGCCAAACCAACACTGCCTCTGCCATTTGCAGCCCAAACGACTTTTACAGACCATCTGCAAGGACCGAAATAGCAAGCAGGGGCTTTCTGCGTGCTATTATTATTTATGATGGCACCGCAGGAGAGTCGGGCTGCGGTCACATGTCCCCCTCACTGCAGGGAGCGCGGGTGACGAGAGCCTTTCCCCAACCTGCTCTCACCACCCCACGCCAGTCCCCGCTGGAAAGGACCACTCCTCGGATCTGTCAGCAGGTCTGTGTGAGTAATCGCTCAGCAACCAACTGCAGCCACCGCAGGCTGAGGCAACAACAACAAAAAAAAGGCCCTTTTTAGGCAGCGGTCCCACGTCCCCGACGGCGCTGGGACACAAGCAGCCAGACCTGGGCTGGGAAAGACACCGGGTGACTCACAGCCACTCGCACCGCCTGATGTGAAATATCCTGATGTGGAAAAGCAAAGGGTGATCCCTGGGCAGGGAGCGGTCGCTTGGAGCTTTGGGCTTCTTGCAGAGGGGATGTAGGATCACTCACCTGCGCTGGCTGGCCGCTGCGGCAACCCTGGGGACACGGTGTTCCTCTGCAGTGCTGGTTGCTGTGGTGAGAGGAGCCGGGGGTCAGTCAGAGATGAGGTTACCAGGGATTGGGTCACCAACGAGCTGCCCGGGCTGCTGAACTGCAGCGTGTTCTGGTTGGTCACAGGAACCGTCACTGGCATGGCAAAGTTTGGCGTGGGCACTGCAGACTGAAGAGAGAGAGCAGGAGGTGAAGGGGAGCAGGCAGAAGGAGGTGCTCACTTTGCAGGCTCCCAGCAAGGGGGTGGGGGGGCCAGATCCTGCCTGGGATTGGCAGCACCGTCCCATGGCTGCAGGGGAGTCAGCGTGGCCACCCCAAGCCTCCACGCTGATGCACTTCCATCTGCACGGGGCGTGATGCACCCATCCATCTCAGCATCTCGGGGCAGCAATGGCACAGGAGCCCAGACAGACTCCTGTGGAACAGCACGGAGTCTGCCTAGACACAACACAGATTCGCCACTGGCTGCTTTCTCTTTCTTTTTAGGCCCACGTTTATTTCCCCGTCACGTTTTCAGAGCTCAAAGCATCAAAGAGGGGAGAAGTGCCGTGGGGTTCCCCTTGCAGCACTGCCCTCTGCCCCTCTGCAGAGTGGCTCTGAGTGCCAGGGACAGGCTCGCAGTGCCTCGTGCCCTCCAGGTGACACTGAGGTCTGTCCTTCCACCACCAGGAGCTGTGGGGCAGGAGGAGGAGGCGACCCGGTGGGAGCAGGAGGACGGCTCAAGCCCTATCCTTGTCTGCAGGTCGAGGACCAGCTTCACCTACCAGCGTCCCCGCAGGAACCAGACTCACCGTGATTATCCCATCAGCCTTTCTTATGTCACTGATTTGCTCTTCATTAACAGGAACAGGCACCTGCTTAGAGGCTTTAGCAGGGGCTTTGTTAAAATCCCACTTTAATTTGCCAAGGGCTGGGAAAGCAGAGCGCTCAGTGCCACCAGGCAACACCCAGCGTCCCCACCAAACACACCAGCAGGCGTGGAGAGAGCCAAGTTCCCAGCACCATGATGTTACAGGGTGCTGTTCCTTGTGGCTGAATTCCTTTAAGGGGAGAGGAGAGGAGGGAAGAAGGGACGGTGCTCACCAGGCTCACTGCTGGAAACCCTCCCACCCGCTCAAGGGCATCCTGTCCTTCAGAGATCCTGTGGCCCCGAGCTGGCGCTGCAGCACGGCTCCAAGGGCTCTGGGGACTGGCGTGTCCCCTTCCAGGGCTCTACAAGCCTTAACACAGCCCTGGCCCTGCAACCAGGGGTTGCAACCAGCTGCAAACAAACAAAACAAAAAAAAAAAAGGTGGGGGGCCACGGGGAGCCTGGCAGGTTTTGTCAGGTGTGTGAACAGCGTGGCAGCATTGTGCAATAAATCACTGTAAGCACGTGTGTGTGCGTTCCCAGAAGAGGGAATGAAGAGCAAACCCGGTGCCTCACATCCTCAGCGAGGATGATCAGAGAGCAGCATCCGGCCCCTGTGTCTCCATGCTGCTGTCAGGCCAGCGTGCGACTGGGACCCAGCACCAGTGCCTGGGGGTAGCTGGGGCACAGGGGCTGCCTGGATGCGCTCACACCTCAGTCCAAAATCTGGGGAGAAGATGCACACATCAGCCAAGCCCCTAATGATGTCTGATTCTATCAAAAGCCATTGCAAACACGCTCCGAGCGCAGAGGGACTCTCCACAGCGAACACGGCTGCTGTTAGCTAACGAGCCCAGTTAGTTCTCATCACACACAAAAACACTCCAGCTGGTTAAAAAGGAGAAGCGTCACCTTCAACAGCACACGCTCTGCTGGAACTGCTCCATCCCCACCGCGCAGGGGGTTTAGACGAGGAGCCGGATGCTCTGCCTTGAACCCCCAGCACCCGAATGCCCCCCTGCCCAAAAACACAGGCAGACCAGGGCTAGCGCAGGGGCTGCAAGGGGATGGAGCTGTGCCTCCACCCCAAGCAAGCCCTGGTGGGGTCAAAATCTCTTCCCTAAAGAGCGAGATGCCACCGAGGCAAAACGCCTCGTGCTTTGCAAGCTGAGTCAGCAAAACCAAAGGGGGATGGATTTCAAGACCCAATTTTCTTGAAAAGCCAGAATTTTTAACCTGTATGGGCTCGCAAAGCGTGGAAGGGCAGATATCTTTTTTTTTTTTTAAGGTGGGGAGGGGGCTGTGTCATTTCCTATTGCTGCATCCAGCCCTTAGCCTCCCTGCTCCCTGCAGCGTCCACAATGGCTGCAGTGACACGGGGCTAATCTCACTGAAGGAGGTTTGCCTGCACCGCCAGCCCTCGCTCCCACTGCTAACAACTAATTTGACACGCGTTCCCCCCTCCCGTCTTCTGACACAAATCCCTTCCAGCGCTGTCCTGATGCCACCCCGCTGACGGGCCTGGGATCACGGGCTAAAACCTCACTGGATTTCTGCCATGGCCACCAGCTGCCTTGAGGGCTTGATGGATTTGGGTGGAATTAAGGCAAAATGGCCCAAAGTGGGCTGACCCAGTGCTCCTCCCCGCCAGCTCACAGGGGCCTGGGGCTCTTAACCCATAGAAAACCCCTTATGGGGGGCAAAAGGGTGGCCAAGGAGACTCAAATCCAGTACTCATGGCCAAAGGGCAGAAGAAGCCCTGACCCAGAGCCCAGGGATGCTGGCTGAGTCGCCCAGGGGGCTGCTCCCACTTCTCCAGCTGGGAGACCAGAGGGTCCCCAACAGCTCCTGGTGCTGCTTCCACCACTTTCCCCCCTTTTCTGCCCTCGTTTCCTGCCCCTCTGGGTGCATTCAGGGCCCTGGTTCCCACGGCACAGCACGGCTCCAAAGCAAAGCCATGCAAGACCCCCGTCACCCAGAGGCAGCCAGGGCGGGAGGGGCTGCAGGCCACCAGCTACTCACTGCGAGCCGGTAACTCTGCATCATTTTATCAAACTCCTCATCAATCTTTTTATATTTCTCCTCCGTCTGCGGGGTCAGTGCAAACACTTCATCCCCTTCCGGGCTTTCGCATTCCCTGTGCTTCTTGTTCAGCGCCTGTGTGACGTTGGGGGGGAAGGGGGAAAGGGGGGGAAGGGAGGGAAGGGGGCAGCAGGGGTGTTGGGGAAGGAGTGGGGACGAGGTTGGGGGGGGAAATCGAACAGAAGAAAAACAGAATAATGAAGGCTTCCTGGCCACAGAGCAGCTACTTACACCGTATCGCTTGAACAGGATATCCAGATCCTCGCTGCCTTTACGGTATTTATCCTCCATCAAGGGGCTCTGGTCTATCGAGTCATCTCCGTCGGGTTCCGGGCTGTCACAGCCATTAAAACCTTTCTTTCTTAACGTCTGAAAACACAATCAGGACAGTTTGAGACCTGAGACTGGTGGGGTTCTCCCGGAATGTCCCTGCAGCACAAAGGTGGCATTAAATGATAGGGACGGATGGACAGATGGATGGATGGAGGGAAAAACTGCCTAGATCTCAAAAGAGCAGCGTGTGCTGGTGCTGAATTTGGACCCATACGAGCTCAGATGAGGGTTTTGTCACCTCCAGTCAGCATGATGACAAGGAGGGGAAATGAACCTCGAGGATGGGATGCACCCTCCTGCTGGAAATAATAGCTAAGATGTTTTTGCACATAGGAAATAGGGCCAAAAAGCAGACACAGGTCCTATCACCTGCGCTCCCTTATGCAGGAGCTTGGCAGGATGGGCACTCAGCAAAAAACCCAAGCAGGGTTTGAGCAAAAAGTCCCTCTTTTCACACAGCAGAAGCCAATCTGCAGCCTGTGCTACGCGTGCACATTTAATCATTTTATTTTCAAAATACCAAAAGCAATTAGGCGTTATTATGGAACCATCACTTGCCAATTTTTTTTTTTTTAAGTCGAAGCTACAGAATTTCCTGGAATTCTTGATCTCTTTTCATGCCAAATTCAGAAGGGGGAAAAATAAAGGCCTTGACAATTCTCCTCTTCCCTTCCTAAACAGCTATAAACATCTCTGCTTCAAGGTCAAAACATCCTGGAGCCGTTCTGCTCTACCTGGAGCCATGCAGGCAGTGCAACCAGGAGCTGTTTGCCTCCCACTGCCATCCCAGCAAGCTCCCCTCCCTCCAGCTGAAACCCCTCCGTATTTGCACCCCGTGCTTCAACGTCAGCCACTTTCGACATCATCCAGGCTTGCAGAAACCAACACCATTTTGCCAGCCATGGTGCTCACGTGGTAAATCCAGCAGCAGCAGCAAGGAAAACCAGCAGATTCTGACATCACCCCTCCAAAAGAAACAACGCTTTCAGAACGCGTGCTTCACCACTCCAATTTCACGCTCTTCCTTTGGATTGCGCCCACAGTGATGTCTTTACAGCAGAGCTGTAAAGGGGGGGGGTGAAGCCCCACTTGGTGCTGCCATCCCCCCCAAATCCTGCTTATTGCTGCCATTTCTTTCCCCTTCACACAGGAGGGGCAGCTCCAGCAGAATGCGCTCTATTGGCACGGTTGGCAGCACATGCAACCCGTGCTGCCCGGACACCAGAGCTGGGGCTCAACTCGAAGGCTGAGCCAAAGGTTGGTTCTCAAGGCCACTCTTTGAAGGCTCCTGAGGATTCTTCCCAGTTGTTTTGCTATTTCTGTCCACTGCCCTTGTTTGTATTTCGTACGACGCACGCAAAAAAACGTGCCATGCTCTTGCAGTGGGGAAGGGACCGGCTTTGCCTTTTTTTGGAAACTATATTTTTTGCAAAATTCTTTCCCCAAATCTTTTGTTTCGCCGAGGCAGCTGGAAAGTTGAGTCTCCCTCCTTGCTTAAAAAAAGAGATTTTCCTCCCCCTCTCTCTTTCTCTTTCAGAGGCAAAGTGGAAAACATTGTTCCATGAGCCATGGAAGCAATGAAGCTGTGTTTCCTACAGATGCGTGCAGCAGGAGCTGTGCTGGGGAGACTCTCCGGTGTCTAATAAGGGGCTGTGCCCATGCTGTGGTGTTTCTCCTCACCGTGGCCAGCTGTCCCACCCAGCTCTGTTCACAAAACTTAAAGGAAATCCCTCCTTCCTAAAACCTACAGTGCTGAAAACGCAAGGGAAAACGACCTCTTCTCACTTAAAAGCCCATTTCAACTGAGTTTCTTCACCTGAAAAAACGCCAAAGGATAAAACCAGGGTGAGAACATCACCTCACAAAGGACAAAAAAAGAGAAAAATAAAGCCCTTTCCTGGTTTGGTGGCTGCTGACACCCTGTTCAGGAGCAGGTTTTAACCCCAGGAGGGTGGGAGAGCAGCAGGAAACCCCGAGCATGTGAGAGGAAGCGATGCTCGGCCAGGATGCAGCCGACTTCCCTTAAAGGAGGGTGGCTGCAATTTAAGCAACTCCTGACTTTGGGGAAGGATGGAAAGGAACAGGACACGGCGCCTCTGCACCTCCTGCAGCAACGGAACTGGGAAGCAAAGCAGGAGCCAGCCACACAGCCAGGGAAAGCAGAGGATGCGCTGCCTGACCTGGAGCATCCCCACAGCCCTGCCCCGTCCCCGTCCCTCACCAGGAGCTGGCACATCAGCTGGGCTTCGGGAAACGAGAAGCGACAGCGAGGAGCAAAGCCGGCGTGATCCGCAGCCGGGCGCGCACGTGGCACTCAGCGTGCCTGTCTGAGGCCTTGGCCGGGCCCTGCGATTAAGGACCCCCCCCCTTTTCTCCCCCTCACTGCAGTCAGAGAGATTTTCTCAGACTTAAAAGCTTGCAGCAGTCAGGACTGAGGCTAGGCAGGGAGCGGAGGGGCTCAAACCCCTCCTGCTGCACTGAGTGCCTCATCCCAAGAGCTTGGCTTCACTGCTGCCAACCCCGAATCCCTGTGCCGTGCAAGGCTCCACTGCTGCCAGCTGAGTCCCTGCACCGTGCAAAGCCCCACTGCCACCAGATCTGAATCCCTGTGCCATGCAAGG